CAATACATCCATACAGAAGCGACTAGTTTCGGCCTCACAGGGACATCTTCAGGCCTGTAATACAATAATCCTGAATTATAATAGGAACAATATAAGAATAGGTTGGTCACGATTAAAATTAAATAGTATAAGCCACAAAAATGGATCCTTATTGAAGCGTTACAGTATTGTAAAATTAAAGCTGTGGAAAAGGAAAAATAAAAGTGCAGTACACACTTAACTAAAATAAGAAAAATGGGCACGAAATCTACAAGAGAAGAGGCGAAAATGAGCGATTACGAATGCATTTAAATTGCTCGGGATAACAAATAAGGCTGATAATGTAAAGTAGTGGTTTAGTCCCCGTCTAAGAAGGTCCGGATATGTGCAAGAGGACTCTGCGTTTTTTCTGTAAATGTTGAGAATGTAAGTATGGAGGAAAGACGAATCTTGCTAGCTCAGGTGTAGCTCAGGCTAGAAAATGGAGAATGTAGATGAAAGCTCCAGTAAATATCGCCATTTTCGCCTAATTTTTTATTCTCACTCACCGTTTTGGCTTTATCTTCGAAATTAATTTTCAAAAGGAAATAAAAGTAATTATTCATGCAAGCATATAATAAAACAAGGTGAATTCATTATATTTAATAAGCCAATAAACGTTTGTTTCAATGAAAAAACATATATGTGAATATAAAAAAATAGAAATAGATAAGATTACTATCAAAATCAATTTGAAAATACAACAAACAGAGATAAAATGAAATAAATTAATACATGTACAAATAGTAAGTTAATAACATATCTTCTAAAAGTAATACATTTTAAGTAGGTAAATATTTAAAGAGTTGATGATTACTGAACATAACTAATATGACGTTTTCCCTCTTTTTAATATTATGAAGATTTTGTAGTTGAAATAAAAATTATAATTTATTTTTGGTCCTAATAAAAATTTAAACATAGGCTATCAAAGAGGAAAATATATAATGAACTTCATAATCTTAAAAAATAGTACATTATATACCTAGGGTGAGAAGTGAGCTATTATTTACCGAGCACTAATGTGCGAGGTAAATAATAGCTTTCTTAGCCGAGGTATATATAGAATTTTTTTTACTACTAACATTAATATATTAGCAATTTTAATTTTGACATAAGTAATTTCCTAACAATTTGTTAAATATTTCGAAATATCAAGCAGACTGGAGCATGTTTCTAATTTGGCATGTGTCAAATTTTGGTATGCTTCTAAGAAATATCCCATTGCATTTTTGATATTTTAATGACATGGATTTATTGGTATTAATAATTATTGAAGCCGGTGTTGAATTTCCTAGTTAATATATATTTTTACTGTTTACACTGATATATATTATCATATTTGATTTGATTAGATTTGATAAACCCAGATTTAGTTATTTCCTACTTATTTTTCAAATATTTCAAAATATCAAGTAGTCTGGGAGTTTAGTTGTCAAATTAACAAAATGAAACTAATGAAATTTAGTTTCATTATTTACCTAGGTTTTTTTTTATTATCATTATTTACCTAGGGTGAGAAATATTACTTCTCATTAGAGGAATGGAGTAAATAATGGTGATTTCTCATGTTAGTAGTAAAAAAATATATTAATGGTTAGACTTGAAATAATAATTAGATTCTTAAACAAATTTCTTGTTTTTGTTTTGCAAAAGACTTTTTTGGCTTTTTCGGTTGCCTCTGCCACTCTTCTTTTAGTAGTTTCGAGGATAATTTCACTATGGAAACCATGAGAATCATCAATTGGTTAGTAACATTTTGATATTTTGTGTCTGGTAAGAGGCAAAAGTCTTGTTAAACTTTTTTCTTAGGTAGCTGTAATCTTTTGGAGAATAAAAATTTAATGTTAGATCAACAGCTCTTAATTGAGAATTATATTTGCGAAGGCCGTTTTAATAATATTTTCAAAAGTTCTTGGAATCGTTGTTAACAGAAACCTGCAAAAAATATATTATTTTATTTCTAAAATATAAGATATAAAATATAAGATATAATGCACATTCATACAATATCATTGTGCTAGAACAATAGTAGGTAGGTACTGGGACAATTTAAAAAAGTAATTTCGACATAATCAACTTTTAATATCAACATTATACTTAACTCTTTTATTGCTAAATTATTAATAATGTCATTTTGTGTAGTTGGTTGTGATTTGTATATTATATATATATATTATAAAAATTGTATCGTCAATGTTATTAGGTGCCGACTTTTTTTAATAATAATTTTGTAAGATATCCTTGTAAAAACACATTTAAACACGTTTTTAGAAAATTTCTGGATTTCTGCTTTAGGTTATCGTATAATTGAATTGACTAATTGTGTGTTTAACTAAAGGTATATCTCTTTATTGTTAAAACAGTCTTTTTATTGTTCTATTCTTTTGATAATTAGAGAAAACAGTAGGACATCTTTTCACCAACAAAAATGTAGAATAATGAATCAATCTCACATCATAAGGAAATATATACATTTTAGGATGTCCTACTAGATATTAACATAAAAACGAATTAAAATGTATATCGCAACTGTGCTCAAATAAATGAATGTTTTTATACCTGGCCATAGCACCAGAAAGATACTTTTTTAGATCATAATGATCTGGATAACTTAAAATAGTCAAAATCCACATTATTTAAATTGTTCTAGTATTGTTTTAGCATAGCGATATAAACTCCAATAATAAACATTCAATGTTTTTTGGGACGTCTTTTAGTAAATAAAAAATACATGAATAGTGTGATATTATCGTTTAGTTTGTTACTACATAATATAGTTTATTAGTGATTTAGAAGCAAATTACGTTTTATTTATAGAATAAAAAATCACTCATAATATCCAAATATTTATACCTATATCTTTATATTTCGGACATGAAGACTAACTAACTATTTTATGTTTTTGGCTCTGAATAGTTTTCTTAAGAATTTTAAAACCTTTCTTTGCTCTTTTGGGATACTCCAATGCATATCTTTGAGGTTTAGTTTGTTTAAACCTAACATTAATTAAGAACCTAATATGAAAATTTCAACAATATACAAAATTAGTCGATTAAATTACAGTTTTAAAAAAATTATCTACAAAAACTGGCATTATCTTTTTACTTAAACATTCTTTCAAAGAAACTTAAGTTTAATAAAGTCACAGGTTTAAATTTTCTTTATTTATGTTAATAAGTAATTAACCATTACTTTAACATTATAAGACGGATGAAGACGAACTTAGCTGAGGTTTATTTCCTATTAATTTTACTTTTTCGATAAGAAATTAAGAAAGTTTAATTGCAAATTAAAGGTGATTGCCTAATGCACCGCCTCTGATAATTAGATTGGGTTCAGGGCCGCCGAGAGCCAGGTCGGGCCCCCGGAACAATTCTCCAGATCGGGCCCCGCGAGAATTAAATAAAAAAAAATCTAAAAAAAAGTCTTCAAGCAAAATTACTTCAATTTCTCTAAAAAAAGGTCTTCAAGCAAAAACTTCTTTACCTCTTTACTGAATCTCTCTACAAAAAAAACTTCTCCTCTTTACAGAATCTCTCTACAAAAAAAACTTCTCCTCTTTACCGAATCTCTCTAAAAAAAAGTCTTCAAGCAAAAACTGCTTCCCTCTTGTGCCGAACTTCTGAAGAAGTAAAAAACCTAGTCCGCCTAAGTTTCCGGGCCCCCACTTATACCGCTGCCAGTCCCCCCATATACCGTTGCCGAGTCCCCACTTGAACCCGGCCGGGGCCGGAGAATGGTCGCACTGCGCAGCTTTCTGAGTGCCTTTTAAAAGGAGATAGAAAACTTCTCCATTATGAACCCTTATTACGTGTTGCCTACATCTTGGCGCAATATTTTTAATAGGTGCGTTTTAATCATCCGCTTCTGCTTCGGAATTGTCGGTTTTCTTGTTTTAATCTGACAGGTTAAAACGACTAAACCGACAATTCCGGAAGCAGAAGCGGGTGATTAAAACGCACCTGATATTTTGCTTGCTGCTGTCAGTGTCAGAGAATATTATTTTTGAAGTCACAGTTTATTGCTAAAGAATCAGTTAGCTCACTTGGACCAGTTGAACGTTCCAAAATAACATCCACTCCAGGGATACAAATTCAGGATACGCAGAAGACTGCTGTTTTATTATAGGCGGTTGTCATATATAGTATTATCCGAGTTGCACAGTGTATAAACTGAAACATTGAGATCAAAAGTGCCGACGCAGAGTGAGCGATCTGATTCTTTAGCTGTAAACTGTGTCACAGGGTTCAAAATGGCCGCGCCCTATGTTGGGCGTGTCGGACCTCTCTTGCCTCGTATAGTAATCAAAGTATGTGCCCCACCCTCTTTCTTGTCAGCCCTGGTTGTGTGTGTACTTACTTATGATATAATCTTAAAAAACCATTTTCAACAGGCCTTTTAAACACAAAGCATATGTTTTCACCATATTATTAGAGATAATAAATCTTAAATATACATTTACAACCCTTACAACACTATAAATAATTATATTTTTTGTAAAATACAAATCGAAAATTGACATGTGTCAGAAAGGGTCAGAATTACAGGAGTAGACGTTGATTACAAAATTTAGCGCGAGGAAGACTCTCTAGTAGTAGTTGCTCGGAGAATCGGTTACAGAGAGATTGTTTATTTTTCTCGTACCGCTAGTTAATTTATGATGAGAGGGGGGTAAGCCGATGGTTAGCGGTTCACTGCTTCATTGATACTCAATGTTAATGTGCGACACTTTTCACCCTGTATATTCAACTGTTCATGAAATCCTCTCATTCTCAAGTATACTTTAAAGAAATTAAAACTACTAAATCAACATTTTTATGTCGAATAGAACACATTTTTGAGTTTTAATCAAGGAATAGTTTAAATCCAACAGCACTCCCTAGGTCACGTGACTCTCAGTGCACTGGCGCCGTAACACAGGTTCTAATTTTGGCGCGTTTTGAGCAGCATCGACGTCACGACGCTGATTCCTGTTCGGAATTGAAAAGAAGCGTCGTCGAGAATTCAGTTTATGAAATTGATGCAAAGTATCATGTCGGGTGGCGGTGTTTTAAAAAGTTTGTTGTAGACGTTGCGTATTGGTTTTGTTAATTTTGAAAAAAAAAAATAAGGACTTTTTTGAAAGGTAAATTCAGTTTAATTTACTTTTGAAACAATTTAAATACTACCTATAGGAGCACGAATACTTTTATAAATTCTAAATGTAGTTGGTTCCATCAAGTAATTGGTACGTTAATAGAATATTTGGAAAATAATCTGAGGAAATATAGATTCTGTATTAAAATATATAAAAGAAAATCGATTCTACAAATTAATAAAATAAAATTGAAAACTTTTCCAAATATGTAGCCATATTTTTTTTTTGTAGCGCTCTGCAAGAAACTTTTGTTGATAGTTTTACAGAAATGGTATTTATACTAAAAAGCCTAGCGCAGAACACTTGAAATGTAAAATAATTCTAACGTGAGCGCATCTGAAGGTTCCACAAACAGATTTTACTGTTTCACATAAAATATTTTTAAAATAAGTTATTTACAATTTTATTTTGTGTGGAAGATTTTAAAACAAGTGGAGTGAGTTGAAAATGTCTTGTGTTTCATTGTTTTTTCTAAAAGTAAAAATGTTTATGTTCTAAAATTTAACGTTCTCAAAATTTAAATACATAAGTGACAGGAGTGCATTTAGAAACCTCGCAAGGCGCGTCTGGACCCTATTCTAATGTAGGGGAATCCGGGGTAGAACGAATTTTTTTTTTTTGAGAAAATGTACCTTCAGATCCTAACAATTTTTCCTTGGAAGTCATATTTAATATTATTTCCAACACTTGTTACAAAAATATTTTATTATTCCCTTTTCCTTATTTTGTTATTAATTTGTTTGTTAAAATTTGCCCAATTCCTCATTTTGCCTCACATATGGGGCACATCGGGGTACGTTCGAACCATCTAGAAAAAATAATATATTTAGGATAATAATGGTTAAATGTTGCTGCATAGAGATCAAGCTTCACGGCTACAACGTATTGAAAAGAGTTAACATTATTAAACAACATTTATAATAAATTATAGTAGTTCAACTTATACGTGGGGCGAAACGTGGTATGCCCCGTTCTGCCCCTCCCCATTCTGCCCCAGGAGCATGCGTTCCGATTGTGACTAAATAAATAACAAAAATGTTTAACTAAATAATTTGGTTTTATGAGGAAAAGGTACCCTAAGAGAGGGGCTATCTTCCTATTCCCCACAAAATATAAGGCTAGTAAAATTAAGCACTTTCCGTTGTTTCCAAATTCGTCAATTTTTACAGTGGGCTTTCTTAGATCATGCATTCGACGTTATAGCTTACACAGTGTCTAGGTACGTACACGCTAACTTGTACGCAATTCAAAAAGTTATATACACGCGAAACGTCTTGACTACATATACTCCATCAGGGCTTTCCCACTTCCGGTACGATAGGCCATCGGGAAGATACAGGGAATCCCACCGAGTCCAGTACCCTTTAATAGCTTCACTGTATTTGGATATCTCTTACCAAGTAGGTGTAACTTTATTTTTGAGCCATTCTCGAAAAACCTTCAAGTCATTGTCTTTCTTCTGCCCCTTTCTCAGGCTTTCAAGGGTGATTTCTTCTTCGTTGCCCTTTGGTTTGATAGTGGTTGCCCGAAGAGTAACTTTATCAACCGGTTCCTCCCATTCTCCGAGCCCCTTACTGTATCGGCATTCTCGTTCTAAACGGTCGCCTCGAGAGAATGTCTGCGTTGCTATGAAGACGGCCTCTCTAGGATGTTCTACTTCCTGATTATTGCAAAAAAGCCGGCTCGGTGTGGGTGATTGACTTCTTCGGGATGCATAGCTGCTGTCACTATTTCTTATTGGACTTAGTGACGGGCTTCGGAAGATTGATCTAGGTGAATTTCTGGTATCATTCCCCGATTCTCGATTTATAGAACGAGCTCTGCTTCGACAAGTTCTTTGAAGGTGTCCAATTCTTCTACAATTGAAGCATCTCCTGCTTCCATTTTGGCTGTTTCGTTGCATATTTTGCAGGATATTTAATATTTACGAGAGGGTAGGTTGGGGTATAGCATTACTATTTGCCTCCTCACTTTCCTGGGATTTAATTTCTTTCACTCTTGCGCGAAAATAACTGGAAAGAAATTTTATCGCTTCATATTCCTGGGCTGCAATCAGTTTCTCTCTCAGTGTCTTGTGATGTCGTAGACGAAGGGCTTGCTGCATTTCCACATCTTGACGTCCATCAATAAATGCCTGTATGCCGATTTGTTCTTGGAAATCTTTAGGTGCCCGTGGATAGGCCAGATAAATCAATCGTTTTATATCGGCCTCGAATTCCTGTAGACTCTCATTATGTTTCTGACTGCGAACCTTTAGCTGGCTTTGAAATACCCGTTTCAAATGCTGCTGGCCATATCCTCTCTCCAAAGCTTGGACGAGAGATGAATAACTGGGTTCTTCTTGAGGGAGTAACTGTAAAACGGTTGCTGCTTGTTCTCGCAGCGACACTATCAATGCAGCCGCCATCTTCTTTTCAGCCCAGCCATTGGCTCCAGCTGCAACTTCAAATTGGAGGCGATACGTTTCCCATGTTGTCTGACCGTCAAACGTGGGTGGCTTAATGATCTTGCTAGTATGGGTTTGTAAAACTGGGTTTTAATTATGGCTTGGTTCGATTACAGATGAGGGCAAGGTAGTGTTTTCAGTTTATCTGTTGCTTATCGAAGCTAGGCTACGAATTCTTCTTTCTAACTCAACTAGTTCAGTTCTAATTTGCCTTTCAAACTCTACTCTAACCTTTTCCTGTTGTTAAATGCTCTTGTTGTTGCTCTAAACGATCTACTCTAATTTTAAGCTGACCAACCTTTTGCTTGAAAGTTTTCTGGATTTGTAGCAAACCATTCATAATTTCTACCTCAGCTTCCCTATGCCTTTCTTTTTCCTTCCTACGCCTTTCCTTTTCCTCTTCCATCTTTAAAAACCATGCTGGTGGGCCTGAAGTAACCATGCCTGCTTCGTACTCAGTGGATCTAGTATTTACCATGAACTTCTACTTTATATTCCACCGCTGTCACCAATGTTACGCAGGTTTTTGGCGTCTCATTTTATTGCAACTCAACTTTAACAATAACAATTTAACTGATAACATTAACATGTAACATCTATCATAAAACTGAAAAACTATAACGTCAGGATCCCTGCTTATTTAGCTTATATAGCTTCTCAAACATTCTCGAACTGTCTAGACTTTTACTTGATGTGGAATGATATTTCTAGACATTTCTGGACTATTTATTCTATCTTCTTCTGCTAGCACTTTGTGGATGTAATATTTTTTTGAGCAGCATTTTTAGTACTCGTGGTTACTAAATTCGGTATTCATATTGATTAAAGATGTCTCTACTGATTAATGATACATGTAATGTAATCTGAAATCTACACAGATAAGCCTAAAACAAAAAAATGTTGTGATATGGCAGTACTGTTGATGGCGCCTCGCGCGGAATTTATTAGAACTATTGATATGGCACTTTTATATATTGTAGGCATGTTCATAATGAATACGTTGGGCAAAAAAAGTCAATTTAAATGTTTTTAGGGATATGGCACTATTGAAAAAGGGGTGCTATATCTAGAATTTCTTTAATCATCTATTGCTAGATTTTTTGGTTAGTTACTTGAAACCTTTCGTGCAATTTCCATCAGATACGCCCATTATGAAATTAATTTCAACAGCTTACCCTCTATATAACAAATCTCTTGAACTTTTTTCAGAATAAATAAATAAATATTGATCCTAAATATCCTATATTATTTAACAGACAAAACTATATTCTAACGCACTAATTATTTAGAAAAGCCTTTTATTTTCAGTAATAATGTATGGAGGATTAAATGGAACTTAAGACAGGTAACTTGAGAATGTTTCACATCCCCTAATAAGTTTTCAGTTTACACTTATTGATAACATATTATCCTAAGTCTAAGATTGTATTACCAAATTGAGAAGATATAATTACTCTATACGAAGGCCACATAATAATGAGTTGTAAAAATGGGTCGAAGTTTTAAGGAGTTGAAAAGGAGTGAAAATGGTATTATTTCGATTTACGGCGAAAGTTGAGGTCAAAAATAAAAATTTGTAATGCAAAAAAGTAAATCAAGCAAAAATCTACAGCTTTTGTAGGGGTCACTTCAAAATTTTCGATAAAAATTCAAAACTTTGTTTTTTTTTGTTTTTTATTTTTTCTTTTTCCAAAAATAATATAATTTTGATGAATTTGTACCTCTGTGTGTATTAAATAAGCAAACTTTTTTTTAAATGAAATTCTACGGTGACATGTAGTTTTTGATAAAATAAAAAAAATATAGTCAGTATTAAAAGATTTTTCTAATTTTCAATTTTGCGATTTTTCGATTTTTCGATTTTTCGATTTTTCGATTTTTCGATTTTTCGATTTTTCGATTTTTCGATTATTCGATTATTCGATTTTACGATTTTTCGATTTAAAAACCAAAAAAGAGGCATTTTTATTTGTCAAAATTAGAAAAACCAATTACCCTTTACGTCCTTTTAACCGTGTTGAAAATCCTACAATTATAAACTTAACATTACGATTATTATTTTGAAGTCCCCACTTGCCACAAATAGATAGATTGGCGATATAAAAATCGTCCTTATCCGTATACCACTTATTTTAAGGAATTCATGATAAAATTTCGTTACATGCTGGGTGACATTGAAAGTACAACACCCGCTAGTAAACATCAAAATTGTTTCTTATATTTTTGTTAAATAAAAGGAATCTAAAAGCAGTGGTCGTAGAAAAAATTTAATAAATGTAACACGAGTTGCAAGCTTATTACGCATTCAGGATAACCTTTGCTCGAATGGTTATAGGTATTTGTTGAATAAAATAAATTCTGCAAAAGAAGAAATGCTATTGAATAATACCAGCGGCCATTTTTATCTTCCAATAAAATTCATTTCCATCCACTTCAAATGCCGGAAAACCTTCAATTGCCAATATACGCATTAAACAAAAGCAAAATAAAAAACAGTAAATCAAAGTCGCCCTGGGAATTTTTATAACTAAAAATAAACCGAATGGGAGTGTTTGTATGTGTATACGGACGGCATGGGCCTCCGTATGCCTGCATGATCTGTATTTGTTTGGGATGATATTTTTAACAGAATCAAATAGTCTGTAGACCAGTGCCTCATGTTATTGGGTTGTAGGTAAAATAATGCAATGGAAGGTTTATTAATTGAAAGGTGGGAACATACCTAGTAACAATATTACACAAAAAACTATCTTCAAATTATTTCACTTTTTTAAACAATTTTTTATAATCAAAGTAAACTGTATGTCGTTAAATAGAGGTTAAATTAAAAGAGACCAGATGATGGTTTTCCACATATAGATATTTATTTTTGCCTGGAGATCTATTCTTAATTTTAGATTACTTGCTCTTAGCCCTGCGCTTTTTATTAAACATGCAACACATCCATATTCACAAAGTATTTCTAAATAACCTATAATATGTCGTTCAGTTTCTTTTTAAATCTAGGGTGGCTGTGAAAGTCAAACATCCCTCACTCTGTATAGCTATACTGGTCCTGTCTAACTTTGCCATGTCGCTTTCCGTTTATCCTTATATTCTTGTATTAAAACTTTTCATTGGTGAATCGGGTGAATCTCACACATTTCTAGAGTACTTTATAAGCTAGCGAGCTAAATGCAGTTTTCTTCGATTGTACATAATAAAATTCCACTTTCAAAACTAAATACATAATCTGATTTTTGCGAAGAAAACATCCTTATAAAATCCATATAAAATATGAAGTTAAATGAAAGCACCTGGAAAAAGCACTTACTTTACCAATGCCTGTATTTTGTAAGAATTTTACGAACACAAAATGTACTACATATTAAGCATAAAAGTATAAAAATATAATAAATATGGATACTAATTAAAAAAAAAATAGATATATAAATAAAATAGAAAACAATAAAGAACTTTTTAAAATACCCTACTGCGTAGCCAGCAACAAAATTTTATAATAATTTTATAAATAACTTTTAGAGTGAAACTTTAGATCAACTGGTATATTGGGCCGAATTAATAAAACAAAGGAAAACTTTTTACTTGCGAAATATGGAGCAAATGTTTTGAGTCATATTATTAGAAATTAAGCAAAACATATTCCTCTTTAAGCAAAAGCAAATGCTTATCCAGTAGATGTTTAAGTAAACGGGTATTAATAATGTATACCCTTTAATTAAATATTGGAAACCTTTGCAAAATGATGCATCTAGTCAGTTGCAGACTTATCATGAATAAAAATGGAGCATTTGCTCGAAGTACAAAGTAAAAGCAAAAGCAAATCCTTCGAAGCAAAAGCTAGAAGCAAAAGCATTTGCTTCGTTTCTAATAAATAATGATTTGCTTTTGCTCCATAGTAAATGCTTCGTTATTTAGACCGTTTGCTTCACTTTTAAATAAGTCTAGACAGGAATGATGTTTGGTTGAAATAAAAGGCATAAGGCATGCATTGTAGTTAATAGAGAAGTTAATGTGGAAGAATAAGCAACGCTATGAGCTTCGACGAAGAAAGTACGACCTGTGAAGGGAACGATCAAAATTGTAAGGTGGTACTAGAAAAATCACAAGTACCCACTATAAAAAAGCGAAAGATAATGCGTTAATAAAGTTACAAGCGGAATGGCAGGCAGTGACAGGAAAAGCGATTAGTGTAAAGCAATTATCTAAAAAAATCAATAACTTGAAAATAAAAATCAAACAGAAAGCAGATATAAATAGAACCGGTAACAAACAAATAAAGTAGAAGCCATGGGAACACAAGGTATTTTGGACGTTAATGGATGATGACAGAAACCCTACTTTGTGCAAATTGCCATTTAAGAATCGTATGTTTATCCGATTAAAGTTCATTACATGGAATTAAATTGCATCAGGTGGTGTGCAAGTGGGCGTATCACCACCCATACAGACTGCTGCTTTGGTGGACATCTCCTTGGAGTCTGACTCATCTGTTCCGGTTTCAG